AGGTCTCATTATCTGAGAAACTCATTATTGATCTATGTTCCCCTTACTGTCTAATTTTGTTCTACACCAAAACTGTGCTTGTGTTAATATTTATAGACAGACAGACAGTCAGACAGACAGACAGACAGACAGACAGACAGGCAGACAAGAGATTTTAGATCAATCCTTACAGTCAATTCATTCTTTTGTTTCAGCCTCCTAACCGCCTCCTTCAATGACATTTGCTGATGCTGATGCTAGCGTCTAATCAACGAGATGAGAGTGCTGTTTCGGCACTACCCCAGTTTCAACAGTTATCGAGCTCAGAAAATGCTTTTTTGAACACCTTTCCAAAATACTTTGATGCCCTTGCCTCAATTTCTCAGGATTACCACAGTCTACTGCAATGGCATCGACATTCTTGAGCACATCACACGACAGTTCGAATATTGATAGGCACTAGAGGTGTAGGTATAAGGAGGAACATATCGTGAGAGTGATAGTGAAGAGGAAACTTAAAATGAGGCAGGATGAACTTGCTCCTCACCCCATTGCCAAAAATAAAGTTTCACCAATGAAGAAAGATACAGAAGTAGATAATGACGGACATGCGCTTTTTTATTTTGCCTTTGAGAATCCACCATCAAATAAAGTGCCAGCAAAATTTACAAGGAAGTGCAAAAGCTTTGGAGGCTGAAACAATATTCGCAAAACCAGCGCAACACTGAGGTTTAGTATACAGCAGGATGCGCTGCGACGGAGATGCCAAATCTCATCTGATGCGCAAATGTTTATGGCATTTATGACTTTGAAATTGTAAAAGATGACTATATAAATCGCTTTAGCAAAAGTATGTTCTTGTTCTTGTAAGAGTTTTATGGCACTTGCAACACAATAAGGTCATATAAGTGCCTAAGATTAGAGATATTACAAGAGAGTAACAAACATTGAAAGGAAGGAGGGGAGATAAGGATGATAGATTTTTTATAGGAAAGAAGGAGCAAACCACACCAGAGCACCCGCCAACCACCCACAAAAGTATGTTCAACGCCCTTCAGAGCTTCCAAAACACCAACAACGAATACCTGAACAGAAAACCCACGAAGATTGAAAAACAAAGCAATTACAAATAACTGACAAAACCTGACGTAACAATTACTTGTGTTCAATAGTTTTAATTTTGCTTTTGTTCATGAGCTGTTGGTTTCTTATTGAGCACAAAAACTCTTTTGCACACGTACCGTGTAAGATTTTGAACACAATTATCTGTCACTACTGTCAGTGAGGAACAGAGGCCACGAAACTGTCACGATTTCGGGTGGTCTGGGGTGGATTGAACAGAGCCACCCTCGTGAGAATCACCGGATACCTTGGTTTAGTGGACTACATCGCGCAAGCTGGAACGTCATGTCTTGCCCTTATTTTCGTCATGATGTCATTCAAGTAGTGATCCCCATGCTAAACAAGGCATTTTCTCGCAGGGCCAATGCCATTAGAGCATTCTTAAAAAACCAAATCAAGTCAACATTCGAGTGATTGCCAGTAAACAGCCCCGATGTGAATCCTAGAGGTATGGGAAGTCCCATGAAACAGTGGCTGGAGAAAAACGACTTTTCCCCCCGTTCAGACCCTTTGTTTGCAACTCTCTGTGACATTTAAAATGAAATGACAGATAAATATGTCCAAATTTTCATAGAATCGATGCCCAAAGGTTTGTGCACAACTCAAAGCCAATGGTTCCTAAGCAAATTAACAATAAACACAATTAGCGTTGAGTCCAAGTTTTGTGCGGTATTTGTGATCTCTTTGTTTTCCGTTATGTTTGAAACTACCGTCACGAAATATCGTAATAGAATATTGTTTATTTCAAAGACAAAATTCTCCATTCACAGGGTATGCAAATACATCGCCTTTCGATCAGTATTGATACTCTTCAGTAAATGCGCAAAGACAATTTTACGTTTCTTTGATTTCGCACAATTTTGCCAAGCCTGATTTTTTAAGGTCAATTTTGAGTGACCATATCACTCTATTTTTTAATGAAAAAAATACCCTTGTAACTTGAATAGAAGTTGAAATATTTGCGACTGAATGAGGCGAGGTTCGCCTAGTGTCAGAGGTAAAATAAGCAAAAAAATGACCCCCGAAGTTTGGTGACTTCCAAAGCTTGAGTGTCCCTGGTAACTGCAATCTTACATTTTTATGCCTTTGATTAATGTTTTTTTAAAGAAAACTCCACCAAGAAACGCCTTTTAAATGGACCTAAAAGGTTTTGAGCTCTCCCCCCATTCTAAAAAATCAATAAAAGTAGCTAAGTGGGTAGAAGTATTCTGGTTTTTTAAATTTTTTTACAAGTGCCTGATTTCCCCACAATACAGCACATTTTACGCAGTTTGCTGCTTTAACTGCTCTATGAAAGAATTTTAACATTTACTCTAATGTATCTTTCTTTTGTTTTTTTAAATTAAATTGTTATGCACAAATTCACCATGTTTCGGACATAGGTGTTTTAGTCCACCATGCTAAAATTCATTTTTGAGATACATGAAATATTCAAATTGTTCGCTTAGTCATAAGAATTTTGCCTTCGAAATCTGTTGGTTGTAGAAACTCCATATGTTCATCCAGTTCAACTCTATAAATATGCTTTGTCTTGTCTAAGCATGGGTTGATATGAACAAGTTTTTGGGACCTAGAAATTTCAGTAAAAGTCAAGTTGAGCCCTCCAGTTGGAACTTACTTGACCTACTATGCACAACTGGGATCTCATGTCAGTGGGACCACTTTTAGGTAATAGTGATGTCGTGAGCGAAAAACATGCTTTTAATTCGTTTTAAGGGTGGGTGTCGAAATTTACTTTAACTCATTCATTTCCGGCCCCAAAGAAGTGCTCAGTGCGCTGTACAATAATGCAAAGAACGTATGCAGTACAGAAATCCTCTTTCTCTCTGCCTCTGTCTCTGTCTGTCTGTCTGTCTGTCTGTCTCTGTCTGTCTCTGTCTGTCTGTCTGTCTGTCTGTCTGTCTGTCTGTCTGTCTGTCTGTCTGTCTGTCTGTCTGTCGGTCTGTCTGTCGGTCTGTCGGTCTGTCTGTCAGTCTCTCTCTCTCTCTCTCTCTCTCTCTCTCTCTCTCTCTCTCTCTCTCTCTCTCTAATACATCCTTGGGTAAAGACAATCCTGCAAAACTTACCTAGACACTTTCGTTCACATTGATGACATCACACAGTCATAAATTGTTACAGAACAGAACAGCATTAATAAACGGTACTGAAAGAACATAATAGATACTGAGAGAACATAATATTATTTGTATTGGGAATGTCGGAAATTACAAATTGAAGTTGAAATGAAACAAATGCATTTTAAGTGCTGAATCTAATTTTGTCAAAGTGTTAAGACTCCCGTAGATGAGTTGGCAAAGCGTTCCTCGGGGAGGGGGCGTGGTGTGAAAAAGCTCTGCCTCGGAGTCTCTGACTTTTGCTTTGGTCAGGTCTTAAAAGTCTTTTCTTCGCCGATTTTAAAGGCCGAGATGGCATATATATATATATATATATATATATATATATATATATATATATATATATATAATATATATATATAATTTATATATATATATTCGATGACCATGTCACAAAGATATGATGGTGCTAGGTTGTTGACGCACTTAAAACAAAGAACAAATGTCTTGTACCGAATTCGTGCTTTCACAGGGAGCCAATGTAGTTGAATTAGCATTGGTGTTACGTGGTCTTTGAGAGATTTCTTTAAAATTGTTCGAGCAGCTTGGTTCTGGAGTCTCTGTAACCTATTTAACGTTTCAGTGGGAAGGTTCCTAAACAAAAAATTGCAGTAGTCTAGACGTCAAAGGACAAAGAAAGAGGTGAGGGTTTTGATGGAATCAACACTAAGATAATGTTGATATTTGTCCTATTCTGTGTAATTCTAAATAAATTGCTTTACACAGATGGTTTATATGATTGTGCATAAATAGCTTGCAGTCAAAATAAACACCTAGATTTTTCGCTTTATCTGTGAAAAAGATGTTGTAATTCCCAATACATAATATGGTAAAAATTGCAAAGCAATATCCCTGGTTTGGCATTGCAAAACAGAACTTCGGTCTTATCATCATTCATTTTAAGTGTTTGATATCATCCAGTTTTTTGAACCTCAAAAGTACATTTTCCCCTGCTGGTAACTAGACAATTGAAATTTGTTGGTAAAACAGATTTGTACGCCAAATTGCAAGCTGAAAATGGATGACATTTCACCATTTACAAGTACAGACTGTTTACGATTAAACAAACAGGACTCAAACCATTCAAGAACAGTCCCAGATAGGCTGAAGCTATGGCTTAATCTCCTGATCAAAACTGAATGAACGATCACTAAAAAGCAAATATCTAGCATTTTCCGCTAAAACGATGCTATAAAAAAAACCCCTAAACTTATCCAAATGCTTTCCTTCATGCATGCGTGCTTTCAGAGACAATGGATTTTTTTTAAAGGAGTTCTCGTCAAATGTTCTGGGGTAGAAACCAGTTGTGCGAGAATTCTTTTCAGTTGCACCAAATGGGTTTTTTATGATCATTGCGGAGGGCTCCATCTCAGCATCTCAGTCTCATCTAAAAAAGGTGAAATCTTTTTTTCGGGGCAGGGGTTGGGGTGGGGTGGGTGAGAAAGATACACAAGGACTATTCATTTCAAGCACCGAGCATCTTGTCTGGGACCTGAATAGAATTGAAAGAATTAAGGTGTAAGAGAATACGTGAAGTCTGGGTAAAGACAAGGCCTTGACTAGCTCATACTGGAAAAAATGCAAGGTAAGGATGTGCACCTTGAGGAAATAACAAAAGCCTTGAGAAACTGGTCAAAACTTGTATTCAAATAACGGGATACTAGAGTGCTGCATTGCTCTAGAAAGGTTGTGAGACTGATTTGGAAATACTTTTTTGTAAAATTACTAGATCTACCAGTTTGCTCATGATACGATTCTGTATAACGATTTTGTCTTTCTTTGCAGTTTAAAAAGTACAAGAAATGTTTTGGTAGATCATGAGCTGGTCCTATCAAAACAGCTTGAAGTCCTCAAACTTAATACAACTGAAAAAAGGTAAGAAATCATATGCGTGGCGACATTTTGGAATACACGTATTAGCTATCAGCAATTCATGCATTGGAACTACGTATATAAATATATATGATAGCAATTGTTGTCATTTTCGCCTGTAAAATGTATTTAATTTTATTAAATGAACACTGGGTAAGGTATTTTTTATCAAATAATATGACTAAACTGATTAAAAAACATAAAATTAATATTAAAATTTGATGGTTTCATAATAAAATTCTCGCTCTGAAATTACGCGACTCGAAAGCATCAATGTCTGCGTTCCGTCCGCCATTTTGAACTTTCGCGTTGTTACAGAGCTCCGGGACACTCGGAAAACGTTCGAAAAAATCAGTTAAAATGGAATCAGAAAACTCTGACATCGATCTGAATGATTGCTTCGGTGAATATTCTGACGAATAGGCCCCGGTGAGGAGTAATCCGTGGAAAACAAAGAAAATGAACCTCCTCTATGTGCAAGGAGCAAGTCCAGAAATAGGTAATTTATTTATCCAACTATCAAGCTATCAGTGTGCAGATCTAACTAGCTCACCAACGTAATGAATAATATCACAGCCATTTTCAAAATGATTTTCACTGGTTTAAAATTTTTTTTTGTTAAAGTTGATCTCTAACTCGTGATTTTGTAATATTTGGTGCGGAAAATTAAAAAAACAAATTTTTTACATTTGACAGAACCCAGGTTGCTAAGGAGTTGTTTACATCAGCTGATCAGTGACGCAATGCGGGTTCTGGAACTAAACCAAAGGTCATTGTCATTTATTTCTTCTCCATAGTTTTCTTTGTTCAGTTTTCAGTCTAAACTTATCAAAATGATGTAGTTCAAGACTTACAAGCTGGAAATGTAAGGTTTTTGTTGTCTGTTTGTATCGTTATTGCAGTGACTAATCACAACCTGAGCCTGATGCAGTATCTACCACCACCGGTGCTACTCGTGGCAAGGACAGGGCACCCTCAGGACCTTTCCCGCACTTTCTACCAAACCAGACTCCAAGACTGCACCTCCCTAGGTCTGACTTTAGTAGAGACCAGGAGCTACATTTGTTTAGCCGCATTTTTCAGTCAGGCAGTTCTTTTGTGCTGCGATGGTGTGAAAGATATACAGCTACATTCAATCGGTATACGCAGACCCCTGATTGGTCTGTGGAATGTTAGTATTAGCCGGAAGAGATATTGTTTGGTAGATAAACCTGTGAGGGGTAGACTGATGTTACGACAATTGGCGATCACTTTTGAATAATTACAGTATAACATGACATGGATAGCTCGAATTCGTCGGGATCTTTCTCGGTAGTTCGAGTGATCCGTAAACCGAGGGATATCTTATAAAGAGAAAAAAAGAAGAAAAAACGGGACCACAGTTACAGTTCGATGGATGCGTAATTTCTTGTCAGCTGTGTTTGACCTATCCGTGATATAGTGTATTTTCATTCCTTGAATGCAGCTGTCTTGTTTCATGCAAATTCCAGATTTTAAGAGGGGGGTGGGGGGAGGGGGTATTTTATTTCTTAGTATCATATTGTATAACATTCTGAGTAATTTGGTGTTGTTGTGTTGATGAAATTTGTCAAGAAGCGAAATTTCCAGTTTCAAGGGCAATAACCGAGAATTTGTAGAATGCACAAGAACGACCCTCATTTGTTTATTTTCCAACAGAATGAAGTGTCTTTAACACTACGTGCAAAATCGAATGAACTTTCTCATCAAATGAATATTACTGTAAATTGTCAAACTTAGCGCGCTCATATGACCGTATGCAGTTGCGAGCGCCGTAAAACCCCATACTAAACTAAACTAAAACACTTTTTCCCCTCTCAGTGATTTTCGGAAAGTCCAATTTCTGTTTCTGTACCTATTATTAGTAGCAAGAAAATAGGCCACACCCCAAAAGAGCTTACCAAATATTAAATCTACTAGCTAAGGCTCTAAGACCATCAAATTCCCTTTCCATTGGTATATAATATGTCTATCTGGAACACATAGATTGCTGCTTGAAGAAGTCATGATATAAAATTTCCAGCTTCACCGGCCGCAATAACTGGGAATTGTAGGATGTACTAGACTGGAAAATGGCCCTCATTCTTTCTTTACTAACAGAATGGTATATCTTTGACACATATAATAATATACAGAATTGAATGTGAACTCTTAATTCTCACTTTGTTTTTACTTCTTTGTGATTGTTGGGACGTGTGATTTTTGTTTTTGTTTTTATTTTTAGTAACAAGAAAATTGGTCAAACCTCAAGAGAGCTTGACAAAAATGAAATCTGTTGGGTAAGTCTGAAAGACAGTCCAATTCCCTTTCCATTGGTATATATATAATAATATGTTTATCTGGAACAGATGGATTATTGCAGGAGGCTTGAGGGTATGGAAGACGCCTAAGACACAAATCACAGCGCACCCCAGCAGCGGAATTTTAATCGCAGGGGGGGGGGGGGGGGGGGGGGGGGGGTGGAGGTTCCCCGTCGAGCACCTTAATTATCATATCGAGGGTCACGGTGGTCAGCTCTCTTGCCGCTCTGTCTGGGCTGACTTAATTTTTGGCACTTTTCAACTTAAAGTTTTAGGTGCACCGTAGTATGTATGGTAATTATCATTTAATGCACCCAAAGCACACATTTCAGCTTTTGGGACTCAAAAAAGAAGATTCATCGTAATTTGTCTGGTTATTTCATTAAACGCTCTGAAGTCGGCAAGCTAAATTGTTTTTTTTTTGACAAGAGTGAACTGTAAAAAATTAATATAAAAAATGTTTTTGACAAAAACTGTCGAACTTTTGGAACATGAACGACTTAACAATAATGGAGATACTCAGAAAAGATCGTATCTGCACAGATTATAGAAAGCTGTATTTTTGCAACTTTATTCATCTGGCACACAATTTGCTAAGAAGTAATTCCTCCACATCCAGCTCTGTGTGTCTAATAGTTTATAAAAAATTGCGCTGTGGTCTCTCTATGAAGAAGTACTTGTTTCTCGGGTTTTGGGGGTCCCGTTAGGGCCCTGACAATTTTTTGGGATTTTAAGAAACTTCCCTAAAAAATTATGTGCTAAATCGAATGGAAGTATTCCCAAAGTCCTTTTTCAAAGAGATAGCTCCATAAAATTTGTAACATTGGTAGCCAATACAATGCTATAAAGCAATTCTAATATAAGTTTAAATTGCTCCTTTCCTCAAAATGTTCATTTCTTGGCTTAAAAAACTAAAAACCGTTCAAGATAAAAGACATGAAATGTGGGTGTAAGTACACCATACAATTCTAAATAAAATGACGCTAGCTTTCTATAATATTTGAAAAAAAAACCCATATATTTGAAATTATTTTTTTACTTTGCTATTTTGACTATTTTTGTCTTTCGCTAATATGCAAGTCTACTCACTCAAAGTAATAAAAATATTAATTCATATTTACAATCTTAAGATTTTTATGCAGATTACAAATATGCGATTAGTTCATAGATAGCCTGAATGCTTTTTGAGTGTTTAGCTTTTGAAAAGGGTTCTTCAGATAGCCCAGTTTCACTCTAATTTGCCATTCTGTGATTACGTAACTGATAAAGATTCCCATAACAAACTATTTTTAATCCTTGTATTAAATACTTTGAGAAAATGAGGAAAAAAAACTAGTAAAAATAACATAATTGTAGATTTTGGTGCTAAGAACTAGAGTGTGGCTTTAATGGTGAAACGCTGAGTGTATTATGTCAAAAAATGCAGATGTGCATCTTTCTTCTCTTATAACTTGACAATTACAATTTTTCATTGTAAAAGACACAATATTCGTATTCAGTATAACACAGATTTTGGAGAGATCTGTCAAGACGTTTATAAATATGAACAATCTTTTATACATAAAAGTATGTAACTAAAATTAGACAAAGTGGGTACTCAACAAACACTTGTCTAGAACAAAATCTAAGGCCCACAAATTAACCGTTCTAAAGCATAATAAATCTCAAAACATTGAGCGTTTAGTACATCAGTGTAATGGTTTGTTGTATGGGATGCGGAAGACGTTATATCATCTCACAAACGCAGACAAAAATGCGAACTTCTTAACCCACACCGGCAAAGTCGCTTCAGAGCTCAGTAACAGCCGGGGAGCCCCAGCCGGCTGCTGAGTCATGCTAACTAAAAGTAACAAAATCGGGAGAAAAGTGACGCTGTGAGATGAAAAAGCCAACATATGTAAAACTGCTGTGAGTGCGATAGGCTTGGGAAAGTTTCTGTTTTTAAACCTCATGTCTAGAATCAAAGTGTGTGTTACTTCTTTTGCCCGTGAAGCTCTTTGCAGAGTAGCCAACCTGTTTCGTTTGTCCGCCTCTAAACCATGTGACAAAGTCTGTGGCTTAAAGAATATAAAAGTTTACAATCTTAAAGGGACTATTGAATGTTTATCTGGGCTTGGCCTTTTGGAGACTGGAGAAATTTAAGGCTGCTTTTGGGAAAGTTTATTGAAATAGATACATTTGGAGCAAGTCTATCGTTTTATACTGTTGTTATCAAAAGAAATGAGCGTGCACACTTGAGCCACGACTCAGTAGTTTACTTATCTACTATAAGGGCAAAAAGATGATTGGCTCAAATTGGCACTTGTACTTGAAACTTGCTGTATATGCAAGCCTAGTATAACGTTGCGGATCCTTATACAGTTGTATCCAAAAGAAACTTGAAAATGTGTTCACCTGTTTATCGTGTTAAAAGTTTGCCCTACCTACCAATTTAAAGCTAAATAAATTTGCATAATCTGATACTTTAATTATATCTTCAATTAGAGTTGCTCGCAATATGGTTACTCTAAATGAACTGTTAAAAAGTAGTCTTGGCAAATTTTTTTGTGAAATGAGAGAAATTTAAAAGTGCGTCAGTGCTGGATTCTGCTTGACTAATCGAAGGCTTGCGAGCAGCGGACGGCTTGTGCCAGAGGCTTGCGCCAGAGGCTTGCGCCAGAGGCTTGAGAGTAGGCTTGTGCTTTA